TGATCTTCTTATTATGTTGCATATTATGTTATCAAATATCAATTTTAAATTTTAAATTTTAACATCAATAATTTAAAAGTTTGTGTATATGACTTGAATAATAAATATATATGTGAATATTAAACACAAACATGACGCATCAAAACTATAAAGGTAAGAAAATGTTTTGATCTCTCAATAAACCACAGACCAAGGTAATTTGAGCAAAAACTGCTGAGAAGAACATTTGGACATAAGAGAGAGAAGAATAGAGAAAATAAAATGGGACATTTCATCTAATATTGTTAGGGTAACTACATCAAGAATAATATGATGGGCTGGACTTGCAACATGCATGGGTAGATGAGAAACACGTACAGAATTTTAGTTAAACAACTTTAAAAGCTTGATGGACCTACGTGTAGATGGACAGACAATATCAAAATAAATCTTAAAAAAAGATAAGGTGAGGGGAGGTACTGGATTAACTGATTCATGCTAGAGTTAAATATTATTTAATGTGAACATATTAATAAACATTTGAGTTCCATAAAAGAAGTGAATTTATTGCTCAAATAAAAGTTATCACCTGCACCAACGAATTAGTTGGTTGGTAAGTTCAGATCACATTTCTTTATTTACACTTTTATATTTTCAGACTTACCGGTTTACAATTGTTCTCGATCAGCAGTCGATAAGCTCGGCGAGTGTGGATAATGCCCGAGTCAAGACATTTGCAGAAACAGCTGTCAGAAGTCTGGGTAGCTATTTACGTAAGTATATGATTCTGAAGGTATGCTCACCCCCTGGAAATTAGTGTTTGTTGTGAATAAGGGTCAATATGTATGTTACCAGGTGTTACTACTTCAGTTGGGTGCAGTTTCTCTTGTGATAGTTTTGTGTATTCATTGTGGTTACCTTGATTTCTTCTGTCTTTGAGAACAAATGTTAAAAATATCTTCTTGTGGTGGGGGTTGTCTTTTATTTTGGACATGTTACGTTGAAAATAATGAGGCATGTTGTCATGAAACTTTTACCAAAATGAGTAGAATATGACTGACATAAACTACATCGTACCCAAGTGTAAGTATGAAGAATCAGAAAATGTGGCTGTGTATTAGTGACACTGTTGGAAGTAACAGCTCATGATAATTAATAGCATTTTCTAAATTATTGACGTAGTAAAGTACCCGGCAGAGAAGACAATTTTCATATATGACTAAATTCTGTTTCGTTCAGGAATGTGGCGGGCCGCGTCTCGAATACGTAACCCTTCAGATAACGCCATAAACATAATCGGGGGCTGTGAAGTTGGGAGATCTTGGCGGCCATTTTAAATCACGAAACCGTGAGATTATACGACGCGTTATCATTTCGTGCAACATGTGATGTGACGCCATCTTGCTGGAACCACAATGTCGCATGTGTGATCTCAACAAAACTCCTATGCGTCCTCTATGTACATATAGCTACTTCAGAAATCAAGACGCAAACTACAGGAATGCAAGGAAATGTTAGTGTTGAATAAGAATATTTTAAATATACAACATTACTGGACACTTTTCCATACATGGTCTAGCGGTCAGAACACTAGCCTTGTAAGCCTGGGGTCTCGGGTTCAATTCCCGGTGGTGCTCAAATTTATAACTTGTGTTGGGCAAGGCCGTGGTCTAGGAAACACGGAGTTTTCCTCCGGGGGCTTCCCCGGTTTCTCCGTGGCATCCCAACAATTACTCCACTCACACACAGAAGAAGGCAATGGCAAACCACTTCTGGATCATCTGCCAAGAACGTATATGAACAGGTCCCAGTCCGAGAAAAGGATGGAAGGATCCTGTTCATATGGACCTGTCGTCAGACAGAACACTAAAAAAA